AATACTGCTCCACTCTCCTCGCCACGCGGCAACGCTCGGAGGGCGGAGTAAACTCTACTCCGCTGTACTCGCCCCGTGGCACCGCCTGCGGGGTGAGACAAAAATACTTCACTCTACTCGGCACGTGGCAACGCAATGTGCCAAGGCCTGAGAGGCAAAAACCAATACTATCCCACTCCACTCGCCACGTGGCAACGAATGGGGGGGACAACCAGGAAATATTTCCCACTTTACTCATTGCGTGGCGATGCCGCGCGGGCTAAACGTATGTAATCTCACACTGCTCGCCACGTGGCAACGCCTAGGGGGCGAAAAGAAATATTCCATTCTATACGCCAGGTAACAACGCTGCGGGGCTGGAACAAATACAACGCCACTCCATTCGCAACGGGGCAATGGCGAACAACATATAATACAACTTTGCGAGCCACGTGGCTAAGCGGCACAGCGAACAAACACTGCTCTGTTGCATTCGACGTGGCAACGCCGCGGAAGCGAACACCAACATCTACTCGGCACGTGACTCCAACGCGGACAAAGACGACGACGAGGCCGACGACGACACAAGCGACGAAGACGACGACACGAGTGACGACGGTGACGACGACGGAAAACGATGACGAGGACGGACAACGACGACAACGACGACGATGACGACGACATCGACGACGACGAAGACAACGACGTACGACGATGACACGGACGGACGACGATGACAACGACGACGACGACACTGAGGACGATACTGACGACACCCGCCCGCCCGCCCGCCAACGCCTGGTGGGGCGAGAACACATATTCTATTCTACTCGCCACGTGGCAGCGACAGGCCCGCGCGCGTCACGTGGTAATACAGCACAACGAACAAGTACTACTCTATTGCATTCGACGTGGCAACGCCGCGGAAGCGAACACAAACATGCACTCGGCACGTGGCTCCACCGCGGACACGGGCGTCGACGACGACGACGACGGTAGGGACCTATTAAGGGGAAGTTGGAGAGAAAATTTACTGCAATATCGCTGAGGCGTGTTGGTTTTACAGGGGTCCTTCTTCTTCCTCCTCCTCGTCCTCCTCGTCCTCCTCCCCACTCGCCCCTCTACTCGGCACGCGGCAACGCCTGCAGGCCAGACATTAAAACCATTCCACTTTGCTCGCGACGTGGCAAACGCCCGTGAGGCGAGACATCTGCCACTCCACTCCACCATTCGCCACGTGGCAACGCCTGCGGGTCCGAACGCTTTATATTTCACTCTGCTCCTGTGCTCACCACGTGACGCTGCCTGCGGGACCAACCACACACACTCCACTCCACCTGGCATATGGCAACGACACGAGGCAAGGCCTACGGGGCACACGCAACACCATCCCACTCCACACGCCACGCGGCAACGAGATGGGGGGCGAACAAGAAGTACAGCTCCTCTCTGTTCATGACGTGACAGTGCCGCGCGGCCCGAACACATCACATATAACTCTACTCGCAACGTGGCAACGCCTGGTGGGGCGGGAACACAACTCCATACGCCGCGGGGCAGGAACAACTAACACGCCACTCACTTCGCAACGCGGCAACGACAAGCCTGCGAACAAAATACGGCAGGTTCGCGTCGTGTCGACCCCGGCGTTGGTTTCTGACACCGCGGGGATCGTTCAACCTTGAACGATCGGCCGTTTCCGAAACGTCCAAATCGTTCCACATCGAACGATTCTGGGTCGCCCGCGGCGTTCAAGGTTGAACGCCGCCGGAGGGGTCGCCGCCGGTCGACACGACACTAATCTACTGTACCACACGATTTGACGCGCCACGTGGCAACACCGCACAAAGAACAACAACTACTCTTTTGCATTCGACGTGGCAGCGCCGCGGAAGCGAACACAAATATGTACTCGGCACGTATTTCCACCGCGGACAAAAACGACGACGACGACGACGGACGACGACGACAATGACGCCCGCCCGCCCGCGTGCCCGCCCGTCCATGCGCGCGCGCCCGCCCGCCGAAGCGGCCACCTCCTCCCCCTCCTCGGTTCGTCCTCCACCTCTCCTCTTCGCTTCCCCGTCCTCCTCGTCCTCCCTCCGAGCCTCCCACCTCCCCTTCTTCCCCCCTCCTCCTCCACATTCTCGCTCGTCCTCCCCACGCCTCCTGTCCTCCTCGTCCCTTCGCCCTTCTCCCCCTCCCTCCTGCCTCCCCTTTCTTCTCCTCCGTGCTGCCTCCTGCTCCTGCCTCCTCCATCCTTTCTCCCTCCTCCCTCCTCCACCTCCTCCTGCTCCCTCCTCCCTCCTCCCTCCTGCCTCCTCCCCCGTCCCCCCCTTCCTCGCTCCCCCCCCTTTCACGTCAACCTGCTATTCCTTTTTACCAATCATGGTCTGAATTCATCTAGTTTCAATTCACCCGCTTTTAGATTCACCTGTTTTGAATTCATCTGGTCTGAATTCGCCCAGTTTCAATACATGTGGTTTTAATGCGCACGATTTGAAACCATCGGGTTTTCATTCGCCTGGATTTTCATTCGCCTGGATTGGATTCATCCCGTTTTAATTCGCCCAGTCTAATTTCATTCCGTTTTCATTCGCCTGGTTTGAGTTCATCCAATGTTAATTCGCCTGGCTTGTACAAGACAACACGCAAAACATAAGCAGACGAAACCAACACAGGACGAAACAAAAACAGGCGACACAAAAGGCGGGCGAAACAAACGCGGACGAAACAAAAGAGGACGACACAAAAGGCGGACGAAACAGAAGGCGGATGAAACAAAACGAGGGCGAAATAAAAGCGGGCGAAACAAGAGCGGACGAAATAACAGCGGGCGAAACAGAAGCGCATGAAACAACACCGGGCGAAACACAACTCCTCCCTCAGGTGTTCCGTAGTGGCGCCCCCGTGTTTGTTCTGGTGTCAGGGGCCCCCCCTCCACAATGAAGCCGTTGAGGTGTGGTCTGCGATGGGAATCCTCTGGTCGTCCTGTCCGCGTTCTGGTGTTGACATCCCTACGTGCCATGCCTTGTGGGGGTTCTTCGGCGATGGACTCCCCGGGTCCGTCGGTGCGTCGGGTGAGCAGGCTCTTGTAGGTGATCTCGACCTCTCTCTGGGGGTCGGTTTCTCCACTGGTAAAGATCCCCTTGTCCCGCTCGTTCATCGGCGCGCAGTACGGCACGGGCATGGGGTGGGCGTCGGCAAGACTGCGTCGCCTGGCTGGTGCTTTGGCCGCCGGTGTGTCGTCGAGGAAGATTGAGTCGTCGTCTGGCGGTGTCGGCGTTGCTGTGCTGTTCTGGTCAGCTCCCTCAATCGTTTGTGGAATCGTGGGGTCATATTTTTCAGGTCGGCGCGCATGGGGTAGAGCATTCCAGTTTCTTCCAGTGCCTTCTTGAGCTCCTGCTCCGTTTGCACTGCCTCTCCTGGTGCTCGTTGTGGCTGTTGGCTCTGATCGTTTCCCTCAGTACATCCTCATCAGGTGATCCATGCCTTCGATTCTTGGCAATGTCCTATCAATCGGTTTATCTCCGTCTTGGCTACTGCAAGTGCTTGTTATCGTGGTGATTGGTACTCTGTCAACTCCTGTAGGCGCATCGTGTCGTTGTTCTTCTTCGCGGTCATGTCTTATGCGTGCTTCTCGCAGGTTCAGTGTCCATGTATCATATTTTGCACATCTTTTGGGACTTCTACAGGTACCTGCTTTGGCTTCTGTATCTCCATGTGCTCTTGTCTCTTAGCCTCCTTGGCCGCGTTGTACATCGCCCTGGCCTCGCTGATGATGAGCTGGGTCCTGGCTTCCTCTTGCTGGAATCGGATGACCTGAATCTCCTCGAAATCTCCGGCTTTGGATTATTGTTGTTGAGCTAATCGCTGCTTGGTGTGTTGGAGGTGCTTCTGCCGGTAGATCTCTTGCTTGAGATATTGGAGCTCGCTCTTGTCTTGGCATGCCTTTCGGCAGCTCCAGCCAGATGTTGGTGATGCTGTCCTCGTTCTTCTGACAGCTGGTCTCGTCGACGGCGACGCAGTGCTCCGCGATGTAGTTCCTCTGTCTCAATGCCTCCTGGCGTTCGTCGGTGATGTATTTGCCGTCTTGTTTTATATGGGAAATGTGCTTGTTTGCTGTTTCGAACTCGGTCCTAAGCGCCTCCTCCGTTCTGTTCGGCTCTGTGTAGATCCTGGCGCTGCTCTCTTCGTGCGTATTGATGCGGTTCTCGGTCTGTTGTTTGAGATGCTGTTCTTTCTTCTCGTGCTGCCCCTCGGCCGTGTGGATCTTGCTTTCGCTGTCTGCCTTTAAGCCCCCGATGGCCTTGAGAAGCTGTTGCCGTTCGTCAATGAAGATGCTGCGTCCTTCTTCCTTGCGGGTAGGACATCCGAGATGATGCTGTCGATGATGACGTTGTGCTGTGTGGTCGTCTTCTCGTTGTCGTCCCAGCAGTTCTCCTCCTTCTCGTGCTTTGTGATCTGGCTCTTGTCCTTCTGGGTGCTCTCGTCGTTCTTCTAGTTCCAGTGCGCGCTGTCGTCTGTCCACCTGGCCAGTCCTGCGCGGACTGCTGGTCTGGGTCGTGCTGCTGGCTTCGGTGGCGGTTGTGGTCGTTATGGTTGTGTTGCCACTTGGGTTGGTCTTTGGGTGCTGCTTTCGGCGCCACGGTGGCTGCCTGAGGTCGTGGTGGGTGCTGCGCGCTGTGGTGCGCGGTGAAGAGTGCGTGTGCGCTGGCGACGCGCAGCAAGACTCGCGCGCTGGCGCGCGCCCTCTGCAGCCGCCTATGCGTGGCGGGGCTGCGGGACCTCTAAATCCTCGATGTCGCTGGAGGCGTGGGGCCACGCCGGCCAACGGGAGAACAAGTTCTGGTGGATATCGCGGCCGCCGCGGTCCTGCGGGCGAGCTCGCTGGCTACCTGCACGAACCTGCGGGCCTGTCTCTTGTGGCGGTTCGGGCGCACGCGGCTGCCCCTCCCCCTCCTCCTCCTCCTCCTCCTCCTCCTCCTTTTCCTCTTCGCCCCATCGTCGTCGACATCGGCCTCGTAGATGTCGAAAGCGTCTGGGCTCGTCAGGCCGCAGGACGTGACCACCTCCGTGATGCAGCCGTATATCAGCTTCAACTCCTGCGCGCCCTCCTCATCCAGCTGTGCTCCCGCCCCCTCCTCCTCCTCCTCCTGCTGCCTCCTTCGCTGCCTCCTCCTACCCCTGCCGCCCTCCCCCTCCCGCCGCCCACGTCCTCCATCTTTTTTTCTTATAAATACCTACTCCCTGCCGCACCCCGAGGCCAGTCGAAAGGGCGGGCCAGCGTTTCGCATGAGACTTTCTCACCTTTCATGATCCTGAAGCTTAGGATTTGCAACAGCTTCATAGATGGAGGGCGGGTGGTTTTCAACATGTGGCTTTCGCCTTAGCGCCGCGCACATTCGTCTTGAAAGTTTGCAGCAGTTTCAATGGTGGAAGGCGGGTGTTTTTCATCATATGGCTCTCGCCTTAGCGCCGCGCGCATCGATTTTGAAACAATTGCAGACGTTTCACGACGTTTCGCGCATGGATAGGAAATGGCTTTCAAACAATGGCTCTCGTCTTAGCGCCGCGCGCGCTCGTCCTAAACAAATGCAGCGGTTTCAAGGATGGAGCGCGGGTGGTTTTCAGCATGTGGCTCTCGCCTTAGCGCCGCGCGCATTCGTCAAGTTTGCAAGGGTTTCACGGATAGAGGGCGGTTCCTTTTCAAAACGTGGCTTTCGCCTTAGCGCCGCACACATTCGTCTGAAGAATTTGCAGCACTTTCAAGGGTTCTCATGGTTAACGTACACGAATGTGTGTTTTGGCACGGTGCCGGAATGTCAGGGCGCAACAATCACTTCGATTCGCGGTGTTGAAGTCCAAGGAATGGTGTTCTGGCAGGATCGTCAAAACGCATTGGTAACATTCGCGGCGTTGAAATCCCAAGACTGGTGCTCTGGCACCAATCCGGATTTTCAAGCGGTGGTCTTCCAAGGGGGCAGGTCCCTCACTGAAAACGAATCATGGTAGGGGCCTGTGAATAGGGCATTTGGAAGGAGGGTTTATTGCAATATCGTTGATGGGTCTCGGTTTTACACTGGTCCTCCTCCTCCTCCTCCTCCTCCTCCTCCTCCTCCTTCTCATTGCTGCTGTCGTCTGCCTTCCCTCCTCTCCCCCCCCCTGCACCTCAACCTCACCATTCCTTATCCTCTCAATTCATTTTTGACTCCCCCTTCCTTGTCCCCCCCCTTCCCTCCCTCCACCAAGTCGCAAGTACTATCGACGCTATTCCCTATCTCCCCCTGTTCCTCTTCCTTCTGGCCGATGTTCTTGTCCTTCTGAGTAACTAATCTCACCTGCACCATCCTGTTCTTCGAACTCCTCATCCTCGTTCTCTTGAGCGTCCGCTTCCTCCTATCTATCCCTCTTATCTGGTCATCTTTATTATTCACTTTCCCTTTTTCTCTCGTCTGTCTTCTTGTTTTTTTCTCATTATTATTCTTGCCATCCTGCCAATCTTCCTCCTCATACTCCTCTCCGTCGTTGTCGTCATCCTTCTCCTCCTCCTCCTCCTCCTCCTCCTCCTCCCCTTTTCCTTATCATGAACTCCTACCTGTCGCACCCTCAGACGTATCGGTAAGGCGGGCCAGACGGTTCCTCTGAGACTTCCTCAGCATTTCTGCTCCTGGGACTTGATATTGGCAACAATTTCAAGGGTGGAGGGCGGGCCGTTTTCAAGACGTTGCTCTCGCATGAGCGTCGCGCGCACCCGTCTTAAACCTTTGCAGCAGATGCATGGAGGGCGTTGTTTTTCACTTTGGGGCTCTCGCTTTAGCGCCGGGCGCATTCATCTCACAAGTTTGCAGCAGTTTCAAAAATGGAGGGTGGGTCGTTTTCAACATGTGCTTACATGGGCGCCGCACACATTCATGTTTAAAACTTACGCCAATGTCAAGGATGGAAGTCAGTTCTTTTCAATGTGTTGCTCTCGCTCTAGCGCCGCGCGCGTCTGTCTGAAACGTTTGTATCAGCTTCAGATTTTAGCACCCCTGGACCCCAAACAGTGTGTTTCCAGCACCATATGTTAGGCAATCTACGCAAAACAATGCAACAACAACTCAATATAAAGTCGGACAATGCCAAGCAATGCGATTGCAGTGTGGTTGCAACGCAACGCATGCAGGCAATGCAAAGCGATGCAACGCGATGCAAAGCAATGCAAGCCCAAACGAAGGGCGGCGACGAGCCGGCGACGGCGACGACATAGCCGCCACCCCGACCCCCAGGCCCAGACGACGGGTGGCGACGAGGCGGTGACGGGGCGGCGACAGCGACGACATAGCTGCCAGACCGACCGCCAAGCCCAAACGACGGGCGCGACGAGGTGGCGGCGGCGACTACAAATCTGCCAGACCGATTCCCACGCCCAGCTCTGTATCCCAGAAGTAAGAACCTCTACGTGGAAGTGCTGCTTGGGAGCGGTGGAGGGTGGACAATTTTCAAAATGTGACTCTCGCATTCGCGCTGTTTCAGGGG